TGGGGGGGGTGGGGTGTTCCTTGCTCTGCAGTGGGGGCATGGCCTTCTTTCTGGGATCTCTCAAACATATTTTAATAATCCTTCCAGCAGCAGGACATTAGTCACTGCTGTCCCCCTACTTAAACCATGCTAAGCTTGGTGGTTGCGTGAGTTGAGTTGCCTGTGCAGTTTTAGTAATAAGTTAGAGAAGGATTTGCTTGGGAGGATCTGGTCTCAGGCAGGGCATTGGACTAAATGATCTCTGGAGGCCCTTTCTCACCTGATTTCCCTATTGTTTTGTGAATCTATGAAATTGAAGTTGCCTCCATCTGTAGATGGCCTAGCTACTGCTCCCAGGGATATATGGTAGAATAGCTGAAACTGCACAGAAAGCAAAGAAGAAGAAATTGGAGACAGAGGGATTCTTCCTGCTTCATATCACCACAGCCTAATCCCATCTATTTCTGCTATGTGCATGGTGTCAAGCATCCATCACTGCTATTCTTAATTCATCAAGTGCATCATCTCCTTCCTATCAGAGTTTACCAGGAGAGGGAAAAGACATGAATGAGATTGACCAGATGAGAGCAGAGTTTTCAAAATCTGTCTAGCAGCACAAGTGCAAACTGAAGAAGTAGGAAGACAGAAATGACTCCCCTTAATCTTTAGCTGGCTCTACTGAATGAGAAATTGACTCTGAGAACTCATCAGAACCTCCTTTTCCCTTCCAAAAAAAATTTTTCTGGGATCTTTTGTTATAGCCTCCAGTTATGATGCAGCCTCCCTTCTGCAAAGATCTTGCCTTGGACTTCTTGCAAAAGGGCAAAGTCAAGACCTGCCATTAAACAAATCCATGTAATGATCCATTTTCCTACAGTATAAAGGATAGGCAGGAAGAAAGGGAAATAAGAGAAACTAGAAAAGCTTCAATTCCAAGTGGAAGTGACTGAATCTAGAAGAACAAAGCAGCTACCTAAGAGGCTTACTATTGCACTTTGCATCTGTCCAGCTTTGAAAGAGATAGTCTGGATGAGATGGATAAAGAACCCAAACTTTAGTTTTCTTGCTTGCTTGTTTTTTTTGGGTCATCTTAAAGCAGAATCATTGGCTGGATGATGAACTACCAACACATAGCCATGCTCCTCATGGCGCACTTCCTGTGTGCACACACTGCTGAGAAGACTCAAAAGCCATAGCCAAGGTGTCCGCTTAGTGCAGGATCACCACACGCAGACCCGTACATGACTTACTTTGCAGCAGACCATGGAAGCAATCAAGCAAAAGCATTTGGGGGTTATGGACTTGCTCACATCTGTTGCTCAACTTGTTGTTTTAATTTAATTGTCTTTACCTGCCCTTCATTGTGAAGGAAGTTATGATAGTGCCCTTTTATGAATTCTCTCGGTGAAAGCTCATCTGAGTCTTTCCCGAATTCAGCTAAGGAAGAACCCTTTGCTTCAATAGCTCATTCAAGACATCCAAACAAGGCAGAATTCTCCCTCTGGTTTGATGATGGGACATGGGCTGCGTGAGAAAGGAGGGACCACTGAATGCATCACGCATGGTAGCTCTGTGAAGGCATTCTTCTTCCTGCCATCCAGTGAACCTTTGCTGGAAGAAACTTCTTTATCGGCACATAAGGCCAGATCGCAAGCCTGTCCAAGTCTAAGGAAATCTTTCCATTTGCTCCCACGGGCTTTGGATCAAGCCTGAAAACCTACAGAGAATGAACACACTTCTAGACCTCAGTGAGGCCATCCTTGAATATTTTTCTTTAAGAAAAAGCAGATGACGTAAGAATTACACTTTTTTTTTTCTCTTAGTCCTCAGTATGGCAATCGCCCAGCTGTTAAAGAGGCCTCTTTTAAGCCAGTACATAAGGGTATAACTGGATCCAGTGCCTGAAAGTCAACATAGACCAATTCAGACAAGAATTTTTTTTTAACGGTGCAGATAATGAGTCTAAGTCATGGCCAGATATCTTTCTAGAGGATATATTTTAGTTCATCCAGCGATGACGGACCTGGCGCAGGAGACACTAGGTGATATTCTCTGCCTGGTGTCACAAAGACAGTCAGGGTAGATGCTCATAATGGTCCAGTTTGGATTCAGACTCTACAAATCTGGTAGATAGCACAGCCACCTGCCACTGAGCTCTTAAACACAGTGAATGTGTGTTACTGTTCTTCAGATATTCAGGTGGGCAGGAGCTTGGCAGAATGAGCCACTGGTGTCCCTTTGTCATGTTCTTCAAGGAAACCTATGTGGCCGCCTCTTGTGGAGCTGGGCTTTCGCGCCTGCCCCTTCTCCAGAGCTTCTTCTAAGGGACGGTTTGGTTCTGCTCCGAAGAGAGTAATCAAAAACAGGAATGAGCCCCAAATGTACAGAGGCTGGGATCCTCAACTTTTGGAGACCCAAGGCTTGCTCCTTCAACTCGAGGCACCCCTTCAAAAATGCAGGCTGTGAGCTTCCACTCGCTTGGTGGAGGACAGAAAAAAAGGGGGGGGGAGGGGGGCGTTTTCTCTCCTGGAATGAACTCCCCAAGACCCCAGTGGCGCAGGCCTACGTGATGTGCATGGGGAGTGAGGGCTGAAAGCCCCTGCGAGCCAGGGCCACCAAGTGCACATCAGGTGGTTTCTTCTTCAGGGGACTGGAAGAGAAACCAGGGCTAGGGGCGGAGGTGTAAGGGCACAGCTGCCCTCCACCCAGCCGAAGGAGGCGTGAGTGCCCTCCGACAAGCCTGGGGACAGGACAGTCATAGGGCTGGAGGGGAGGTCACAGCGAGTCCTACCTCCGGTTCCAAGCAGAAGCAGCCCCAAGGACCTCATCCCAGTCAAAGCTTTGTCTGGCCGGGTCTTCAAAGCCTCCAGGGATAGAGTCTCCCCCACCTCTGCGGGCAGCCTGGCCCGGCGCTTCCCCGCCCATTGGAAAGTTCATCCTGATCTCGGAGCCCGGCTCCCCTTGCTGCCACTTGAGCCCGTTGCTCCTCGCTCTGTCACCCCCGCAGAAGCAGCCCCAAGGACCTCATCCCAGTCAAAGCTTTGTCTGGCCGGGTCTTCAAAGCCTCCAGGGATAGAGTCTCCCCCACCTCTGCGGGCAGCCTGGCCCGGCGCTTCCCCGCCCATTGGAAAGTTCATCCTGATCTCGGAGCCCGGCTCCCCTTGCTGCCACTTGAGCCCGTTGCTCCTCGCTCTGTCACCCCCCGCTCCATCCGCCTCGGGCTCCTCTTGCGCA